AATAAAAAACCTTTTACAAATAGTTATCACTTATAGATTTTAATTAAATTAATTAAATATTTTAAATTATTAACATTAGTAATTTTTTATTATCTATTATAAATTTTTTTTTATCTTGGTTGCACAGTAATTATCTTTCATCTTTTATGTCACTTCATCCATATGTCATGTGATTCGAATTCAAAATCTCTTACTTCCGATAAAAGAAAATAATCACTAAATTATTTAGACGGTTGATTATTTATTATAAATTATTAATTATCAATTATTTTAAAAAAATTAATCCGAAGCATAAAAAATACATATAAAACAACAATAAATTTGTTGCACGCAAAAAAAAAAAGGATAAATTTGCAAGTTGACCCCAAAAGAAATTCTTTTTCCATTTTTGTCCTTGTAGTTGTGTTCTATATACAGTAGTATTTTCTCTCTTGTCTATAAATCTCAGTAATACCACTCCGTTCTTATCCTCACCGATTCGTCTTCAGACGCCGGGAAAATCCAAGTTTCCTCCGGAGGTAACGTGTTGCTCTTTCTATTCTCCGACTTTTACCGTTTTAGATCTGAATTTCGTCTCTCCCGATTGCTCTCTTTCAACGATTCTCAGATTCTTTGCGATTTTGAATCGATTTGTAATTGCAGCGTGTTACTCCATTTTTCTTTTTCCTTATTTTCTTTGCGTCTGTTGCTGTATGTGTTTTGGCTTGAACTAATTCCGTTGAAATTGATAGTGGATGCAGAAACTGTAGTGCGGAAGAGCTGAGATTTTGCTTCGATTCGATACAGACTTTGATTCTGCGATCTTTGAGATATGAATCCGCGAAGGTTAGTTAAATCTAATTTGCTTGTTTTTCTCTTTCAATTTTTTAATTTCGTACTCCTTTTGGGTTATATTATTTGATTAATTGATTTTCATGTTGGATGGATTGTTCATTTTAGCTATTGAGTTAGATCCGTGTATGAATTATTATTGTCGAGTTTGTCATCGAAATTTACCTTCTTATTGTGCTCTGTAAACCATAATTTGTTCTGTAGTTTGGCTTGTTTTGATAGTTATCTGTCTTTTGTGAATGCTTGAACTCTGGGAAACATAGAAACTCCAGCCCTGGAATGAGTTATTATAAGAAAATAGTAACTGATAAGTTTGCTAAAATTTGCATTTATGGATATAAAACTATTACAAATGATTACTTGTTTGAGTAATGTATTTGAGACAGGTAGATTCTTCAGTTGATATAAATTGCAACATGTGAATGGATGACGGTCTCAGGGTAACTTGTTTTAGTGATTATTTTGGATCAGCCTCCAGGTCTATGTTCAGCTTATCAATTTCTGAACAAATTGTTCTCGGTTTAGTTGCATACATCTTTCTAACATTTTAATTATGGTTCACATGATCATGTATAGACAGATCACAAGACAAATTCCTTTGGTGGTTTTAAGGGAAGTACAGAAGAATGTTACTCAGCCTTGCAAAAGCAAGAGAAATACATGATTCTTTGCAGTGAAAATTTGTGCAAATAATTCCCCTGGCCGTCAATTGTTGTTTTATGAACTTCACTGCATATTCACCAATTTCTTTTTGTGTGTGTGTGTGTGTTTTTTTTTATATTATTATGTGTTACTCAAGCTTATTCTGATTTGTACTGAATCTGTTAAGCATTCAGAATAATGCCAGCTCTTCAAATTTTGTTATAAATTCTTTTCAAAATCTTAGGTATATAAATCTGTACTTGAGATTGTGTGCTGTGATTTGTAACTATGATTGTTATTTGTTACAGTATTGGCCTTTGAATATTGATTGGCTTTCATGTTAAATTTCATTCTCCTTTTATTTTTTTTTTCTGTTAATATTTTTCTTCCCTGATATGATCTGAGGTACAAAATAAAATATTAATGATTTTCTTATAATATTATTTGTTTCATTTTCTGTCCATGGATAGATTTTTTTATCAGATGCATGGGCTATCTGGTTAATTGTCAAAAACTCAATATGTTTGATCCATGATATTGTATTTTGAGTTGGCATTTGCATCAAGATAAAAAATACAAGTCATCAATTTGGGGAAAAAAAATGTTGAGATTCAACTTGCCATCTTGAAAGTCTATACTTGTTGCTTCTGCATGCAATTAAGAACATGTTGGTGATTAATCTCTATGCTTACTATTTAAGCTGGATCGGGGCAATATGAAGCTGTAGTATTATCCTTTCATTCCTTAATTTTACTTGATTATTGCTAATTTGCCACATAATCTTACGGAATACCATTTTTATGTTATTTAGTTGCCCAGGCAACCAGCCAATTATGAATTTTTCTTTTGTGCAGGGAACACCGAAATAATAGAGTTGCTCTGTTTGATGGGATTGAAGAGGGTGGCATTAGGGCATCATCTTCTTACTCGCATGAAATTGATGAGCATGATAATGAGAGAGCAATGGAAGGGTTACAAGACAGAGTCAATCTGCTGAAAAGAGTAAGTTTTATCTTGGCTCTAGAATTCTTGATCTCATGCATGAGCTACTTGTGCTTCCTTAAGATGATAAAGAGAGAGAGAGAGAGCTTAAAAGCTTCTGGGTGTTTTTGCTGGATTCGTTTGTCATCTGTTTGATTATTCACAACAAGGAAGAGGTAGCTATTTGAGTTAGAATGATTATTGTGGTATTCTTGTGAACAAGGGGAGGCCTTCTCAAGTTTTTTTCTTTGAAAGGAGATTAATGAAAAGAAAGCCCCATATATTTGATAAGAACAATGTGACTGAAGGCCTCCTTTTGTTTAAATCTCAATGTTGTAAAATATTTCTGATTCGGTAGTTTTCTCTAATGATAATGTAATTCTACCACAATGAAATGTTCTTGATTTATGCATGCCCCAAAATTTTTGTAACTTATTGTGACTAATGCTGCAAGCAAACTTTTAATGCATGGCATTTTGACAGTTGTCTGGTGATATTCATGAGGAGGTGGAAGGTCACAACCGAATGCTGGATCGAATGGTGCGTATGCCACAGTGGGAAAACTGTCATATTCATGATGGTATTATTTTTTTCTGTTGTCACTGTTGTTAATATATCAAGTGTGTTCTGCATTTAGGGCAATGATATGGATGCATCAAGGGGAATTCTCTCGGGAACCATGGACAAGTTTAAGATGGTATGTAAATGTAGTGTAAATAATAACCTCCATTCTCTTGCGTATTTTTCCATTTCATCCTTTTTTCTGTGCTAGGTGCTAAGCACGTGTTTCATGGCCATAATATGAGTTCTTGATCTGCCTTATTAGGTATTTGAGACCAAATCGAGCAGGAGAATGTTTACACTCGTGGCATCATTTGTGGTCATTTTCCTAATCATATACTATTTAACTCGGTAATTTCTCTACTTATGCAGCTGCCACCTTCTGTTTAGAACTGGGAAGACCCGATTTAGCATGGTTAACATAAAAATATTGTTAATTCCAACAAGATAGTTTGGCATGCTTGTATAAAAATGATGTTGCCATGTTGGTGTAATCAAACTGGCTTTGAATGATTCAGGTTGTGTGCAGTATATTTGTCATTATATTCCGTTTGCACTCTGAATTTTTAAGTGCCGAGTTTATACTTTATACCACAAATGCGTATAGAAATTACTCCACTATCGGTGATAACAGGTTAGCTATATAATGAACCAATGAGAATTTTACACAGCCATCTGAAACGCGTTTACGCAATCCCAACAAATTCGCTAAGCATTGTTGCCTTATCTTTACATCAAATCACAATCATTCTCTGCCCAGCCCAAGGGGAAAGATCTTTAAATCAAATCACAATCATTTTCTGCGCAGCCCAAGGAGAAAATATTGTAGCAGTAAAAGCAAAAGGAAAAAAGAGACTGCACCAGCCGGGAATCGAACCCGGGTCTGTACCGTGGCAGGGTACTATTCTACCACTAGACCACTGGTGCTTGTTGTTGTAACTTTTTGCGAATTGTTTAACAGATAATAATTTCCTTTTCGTTAACAGCTGCGTCATATTTAATGAAATACACTTACATAAATGTTTAAATGAGCTTGCTTCAAGTATATATATATATAATATTCATAAATGTAACCCCTAAAAATCCAAATCCAACTCCAAATCCTAACCAAACCCTAATGCTCTAACTAGATCTGAAATTGAAGAGAATTCTGAAATTCCTACGGCATCTAGAGTCTTCGGTTCTAGAACATACAAATTAGGAGAAAGATATCCCATACCTCAAGCAACATTTGAGTATATGGGAGAAAATAAAGAAATGATACAATTTGGTAAAAGAATGAAGGTGGATCCAAATTAGTTACCTGTTGCAAAACAGCAAGGGACTATTTTGGAATTACCAAGTTGGAATCCACAACTTTGGGCAGAAATAATAGATCAATGGGAAAGAGATGCTTGTCGAGCATGGATCAATCAATCTATGGATGATGAGATGTTTGAATTCTTAGAAGCACTTCTAGGCCCAACTATAGAATTGTATTGAAATACTTTTAAAAGAGAGAACCCAACCTTAATTGCTGAAACACAAGACTTGAGGGAAAATCTATACAATTTTA